TAACAGACACAAGACAAAACAACAAACCCAAATTAGGGAACTAATAGCCAAGGACCGCCAGCAACAACTGCCAACCACCAACCACCAAAAGTCCTAACTATCATGGAGTCCAACAGGTCACCTCCAAGGGCTACCTGTACTTGTGGACAAAATCCCAGCTGTGACCACTCTCTCATATACCTTTGAAACTTACTCATAATGTCTCCTTGTGACATCAGAGCAATTAATCGCTCAGCCATGCCTGGCCATAACTCCCAGGGGTCGTCTCCCTTTGGGGCCTTCAAAACTTCTTCCATTTTCAGAATAGGAATAAAGAAGGACTACAGACACTTTTTGCTTTAGTGGGTCACAGAGACTGATGTGTACTTGCTTAGGAATTAATATTCTGTGGAACTTCAATGTAATTTTCACTTTCCATCTAAAAACCTGTAATAACTTTTGGTTATTTCCTTAAACACAGCACACAAAAATAGCATTTATCCTGGTTCCTAAATTTTGGGTGTCTCCTCACATTTTACACATCTACCTCATCCTTGTCCCTTGTCCCTTGTCCATGCAGTGGCAGCAGTTTCAGGAAGTCTGGGAAGAGTTTGGGAAATGACGGATCTAAAGAGGCGGGCAGAGTGGACTGCCAGATGACAAGCCAGGAGATACAGACCATCTAGAAAGATGGGCCAGAAGCTTAACTAAGGTACCAGAAGCTAATGATGTGGTCAGAATGCTTTTAAAAATGGATGCTCAAGGACATAGTGGGAGGAAAGCAGTAGTGAACATGGTGGACTTGGTGGATTTTTTGGGCGGGGGGCGCAGGTGTGGCATCAACAAGGGAATGGCCATCCACATAGGGAAGGCATGTGGAGAACAGGATGTTTGAGAGGAATTACAAGGACTAACAGGATCTACTCCCTATTTCGGTAAGGGGCATAGGAAGAGGGATAGGTGCAACAAAGACCAGGGGAGTCCAAAAACCACTGAATGGATCAATGGATGAACCTGGAGGACCCTGTGCTAAGTGAAAGAAGCCTGACACAGGGAGAGGATACTGCATGATCTCTCCAGTGGAATTTGAAAGACATGTACTTGTAGATGCAAGGAGTAGAATGGTCTATGGGCAACAAAGAGGTGATGGTTAAGGAGTTGTAACACTTCAACTATGCAAGTTGATTAAGTTCTGGAGATCTACTATGTGGTATCATGTCTAGAGCTGACAGTACTGTATTGTATACTTAAAATTTCTAAGAGGGCAGAATGTATGTTAAATATTCTTACTAACAAAGCCCCTGGCCCCAGCCATAATAAGAAAGAGAATGGGAAGAATCTTGGGGAGGTCTATTTGTCATCTTGGTGCTGGTGATGAATTCATGGGTGTATACTTTCCCCAAACTCATTGAGATGCATACACAAAATATTCAAGGTTTTATTTGTCAACTATTTCTTAATAAAATGATTTTAAATAAATGAATATTTTTTCATAAAGATGACTTCAATTTATCGGCTAAGACATTCGGAGACTGGCAGATAAAAAAGATTAGTAAGAGACAACCAATCACATTGAATTTGAAGGAAGTGGCTATGTGGAAGTGGTTTTCATAGTCTAGGATCTGTGCCTGTCCAGGTTGAGGCTGGAGATGTGAGTGGCATCTTCACAAAGCTAGTGAAGGACACTGGAGGTGGGCAAGATCTCTGAGGGCCAAGGCAGATCTGCTGAGGGGAGCTCTCAGTTAGAAATGATTCCTTTTGAAGACCTCAATATCAGCTCCTCAGCCTTCAGGGGCAGGTCTGTGCCTCATAAACACCACACTTGGCCTATAAGTGTTCCTGATTGCTTCTTGTACTTGTACCTCATATGAAATCTTCCTTTTCTTCATGTTTCACCTAAAAGAATTTAGGAGGCTTCTAAAGCAACTTTTACTTAAGGAAATTCAGAATAATAATGAAATTTCCAGAAGCTAAACAATAAATATTTTCTGACTCAATGTGCTCACTGAAATTGAAATGTAACAGGAGCCTGTATGCAAATTATGTAGCCTGCAGTCCTGGCCCATAGGGTCTTGGATTCATCTTCCTTGACAAAGGTACACCTGCTTCTCTACTTCTCTAACCTGCTCGTTTCATCTTAATCATATTCATTAACAGGTTGGTAAGGCTCTTTATATGGTTTGGCGAAATGATGTTCCTCTTCAATTGTTCTAAAATAGCATCATCAGGTCTCAGTGGGAGCACACGCAAACACATACTGTGAGAAACAAATTAAAGACTCTTAACGACTCTACCAATGCACTAAAAACCTTAGTTGAAGTATTTCAGAAGTCTGCAAAAGAAAATAACTCAGGCATTTTCCCTGGTATATATTTTTTTGTGTTTTTAACCATGAACATTCACTGCATTTTCAGTAGCTAGAAATAAATTGCTTTTAAAAGTAATTAGAAAAACATACAGTGCTTAAAGATTTATCTAACATTAAATGGAATAGTAAGAGTATTAGGTGTAGAAAATAGACTTGTTAGTTCTGCAGAGATGTGCATTTTCTATGTGTAGGTATTCCGGGGTACATTTGAGAGTAGTCTGTTATTTCTGAAAGTATTTGATATGGGCACCATTAGAAAGACTTGAAGAAGGTTTTTACTGATTAAAAATTTATTAGTAAAGCCTTGACAACAACCCAACCACCTCTTAAGCATTCAAATAAGTGACAAAAATGTCCCAGAGGAGAAGAAACAGGGAAATTATGAGACAACATTTCTAGTGACTCCCCGTAATGCATTTTTTATGACCTCTGGAATATTAAATGAATACATCTGGCCTGCAATATTTTTTACACCTTTGTCTTTCAAAGCCTGTACTTAAAAAATCTTCCAGATTCATTGGCACAGAGCAAGTAATTTCCTGGTTTTTGGGAAAACCAAGATAAAGAGTTGTCCAAAAATAAAAAAGAGAAAAAAAAAAAAAAACAAAGAAATGAAACAAACAAAAAAGTCAGTAGTTCCAGGATAATCAACAAAGACACTCCTGGTAGTTGTGGATTCTGGGCTCATCCCCCAACATTCATGCATTGGGTACATAACCCCTAGGCAACCATACAGTGAGTCCCATGGGGACTCAGAAAAACTAAGTCACCTGAGAGTGACTGACATTTCAGTAGAAAGATAAGATATGCACATAAACAGCTAAAATAACACAAGGGAGACTGTGACAGATATCCCAGGAGATCTTCAAAGAAGGTGCCATGAATAGGAAGTAATCATGTTTCACTGGGGAAGCCAGAGAAAGTGCCAAATCAAAATCAGTTGGAGTATCTGAATTTGGAGGGCGATGTGTCCTGAAACAGGCTGTTAGAACTGCAGGCAGGAAGGGACATCCAGGCAGGGGAAACAAGATATGCAGGAATCAAAGACAGGTTTGGGGAGATCTAAAGTTGATATGGTTATTACAGCACTCTGAAAGGAAAATCAAACAATTTTTTGTTGTTGTTTTTAATGGAGAGGGGCTTTCCATGGCTGTGGGTGGCCCTGAAGCTTACGTTCCCATAGATTCCCAGGTGCTCCTTTTTAAAACTTTTTATTGGGCTGGGGATGTGGCTCACGGCCCGCTTGGCATGGGTGTGGCCCGGGTTGGATCCTTAACACAACATACAAACAAAGATGTTGTGTCTGCTGAAAACTAAAAAATAAATATTAGAATTCTCTCTCTCTCAAAAAAAAATTTTATTTTGATGCTGGGGTTTGAACTTAGGGATGCTTACCTTGCTAAGTTGCTGAGGCTGGCCTCAGAATTGAGATCCTCCTGCCTCAGCCTCTCAAGTAGCTGGGATTATAAGCATGCACCACTGTGGCTAGCACAAATCCTCATTTTTTAGGCCAGTTTACAGAGTCCAGCAGACTATGTACAAGTTAGTGTCTTTCATTTACTGTCTATATGACTTGGGATAAGCTCTTCATTTTCCCACACATCTATTTCTTCAAATACCTGCTGTAGAACTGGAAATGACCACCCTATCTTTCTAAGCGAATCACCCCCTACTCTCAGCCAATAAGTCAAAGCTCACCTTGCACTACATGGGTTAATTATTTGATTTGACTCAGAAAACAGCTGAATCCCATGGGACATATAACACAAGCCAGGTCAATATGGACCTACCTCCCAGGAATTTGCTGAACTAATAGGAATTCTTTTTATATGAAGGTACTAAGCTAATTAGAATGTAAGCCTAGAGCAGCTGGTAGAGTTTGAAGCCCACACAGGATTGCAGATTCTAAGACAGGGATTATCGCTTAATGGCACATCTGAGCTGTGCTCAGATCAATTTGAGAAGGTCTCTGTTGTTTTCAATCACTGGTGCCTGGATACACTATGATGTATGATGTGATGACAACACTAGGTCACAGAATTAGCAGCAAAACAGTCTTCAATTCAGTACCTGAACAAGGCCTCCTGGGCTGGACTTCACTGGAAACATAGAGTTGAGATCCTTACTTTCATAGAACTCTTAGGTGTTACTAAACCACATGGAATTTCTGACTTCAACTCTGTCTGCACATAATTCTCCCTACCCTATCTTCAAATGTAGCGATTCTTCCACATACACTATAGTTACAGATGAGACAAATTGATCCATTTGCTGCTGAATAAGTGGAACTTACTGATATCATTGATCAAAATACAGATATGACAATCTTTCATGTGTGATTTTAGGACTGTTTAGATCATCTTTTGGGCCTCACGTGAACAATTTCCATCTATAATGCTATCTCTAATTCTCATTCAATGCTGTAACTTAAGTGAGTGATGTTATTTTTGCATATCTGCAAGTGCACCGTAATTTATTTATTTATAGTAAATTATTTGCAGACCAGTGATTTAGCTCTGGTTCATAATACAAATAGCACGGTAATACCTGATTACTCCAATGCACAAATATGCACTTTCAGCAATACTGAGAACCATCAATGTGTAGACAACACAAAATTCTAGATCACACTCTGTCTGATTCCTGCTCTAAAAAAAGGAGCTGAACACAGGGACTTGTGTTTCACTGAATCCCTATCAACTAGCAGATTACTTTACCTAGAGAGTTCAATAAATGTTTGTCAAATTAAACAGAACTCCATCCCCTACAATAATAATACACAGCTTCACTCGCCTTATCAAGATGAACCCTGTACTGACTCAAAGCTAAATAACACCTGTTATTTCCTCCGTTTGGAAAATTCACCTGGAGCAAATCATCTTCCTCACCACTGGCAAAAAAATACCTAAGCTCAGGCTTGATGATAAATTTATATCCTCATAGGTCTCAAACTTAGCTTCACACTAGAATTATCTGGGGAGTTTTCTAAAATCCCAATGTTCATATTACACACAGGGACAATGGAGTCAGAATTTTATGGTGCACCCAGATGTGAGGGTTTTATTAAAGCTCCCCAGATGGTTCTGATATGCAGATAAAGATCAAAAAGAACCCCAGTAGAGCAACACTTGTCAAGGACACCATAGTTACTAAACTATTTCTGTAACCATATCAAGTATTTTTTGTCATCTATGTTGTGCTATTCCAGACTAGACTGAAAATACAATGGATTCATAATACCAGTAATAAAATAGTAGTTATTTGATACACTCCCCATCAATGGAATTGTTGAAATCTCAGTGGCCTAAATTCAAGGGAGTGGGGGGAATAGTACTTGTCTTTTAAGGATTTTTCCCTTCCCAATCTCCTTTCTCCAAGAACTGTCTGAGCTCCACCTGCTCATACAATGTGCTCCTGAAATCACAGCTGTTCTTCAGATCCCTGCTTCCCCAATGTCTACAGCGTTCCTCTTACCATGCTCAGAGGATTCTACATTTGAACATGCAACAATCACCTAGAGGGCTTGTGATGACAGATTCCTGGGCCCCACCTCCACCTCCTGAGCTTCTGATTCAGCAAGACTGGCTGGAGCTGGAGAATTTGCATTTCTGCCATCCTCCAGATATTGCAGATGCTGCAGGTCTGGAAATCACACTTGAAAAACTACTGCTGCAACTGATAGAGCCAATCATACTTGATGAATGATGTGCTCTTGCCTTGGCTTAGATATATGTTCAAAGAATAGTCCATAATTGGAGTCATTAAAACCATTTATGAAAAATATCTATTCATTTATTTAAAATCACTTATTGAGAAGTGGTTGACCAAAAAAAAACAAAAGCCTTGAATATTTTGTGTATGCATCTCAATGAGTTTGGGGAAAGTATACACCCATGAATTCATCACCAGCACCAAGATGACAAATAGACCTCCCCAAGATTCTTCCCATTCTCTTTCTTATTATGACTGGGGCCAGGGGCTTTGTTAGTAAGAATATTTAACATACATTCTGCCCTCTTAGAAATTTTAAGTATACAATACAGTACTGTCAGCTCTAGACATGATACCACATAGTAGATCTCCAGAACTTAATCAACTTGCATAGTTGAAGTGTTACAACTCCTTAACCATCACCTCTTTGTTGCCCATAGACCATTCTACTCCTTGCATCTACAAGTACATGTCTTTCAAATTCCACTGGAGAGATCATGCAGTATCCTCTCCCTGTGTCAGGCTTCTTTCACTTAGCACAGGGTCCTCCAGGTTCATCCATTGATCCATTCAGTGGTTTTTGGACTCCCCTGGTCTTTGTTGCACCTATCCCTCTTCCTATGCCCCTTACCAAAATAGGGAGTAGATCCTGTTAGTCCCTGTAATTCCTCTCAAATGTCCTGTTCTCCACATGTCTTCCCTATGTGGATGGCCATGTGTGGTGATTCCCTTGCTGATGCCATACCTGCGCCCCCCCGCCCAAAAAATCCACCAAGTCCACCATGTTCACTACTGCTTTCCTCCCACTATGTCCTTGAGCATCCATTTTTAAAAGCATTCTGACCACATCATTAGCTTCTGGTACCGTAGTTAAGCTTCTGGCCCATCTTTCTAGATGGTCTGTATCTCCTGGCTTGTCATCTGGCAGTCCACTCTGCCCGCCTCTTTAGATCCGTCATTTCCCAAACTCTTCCCAGACTTCCTGAAACTGCTGCCACTGCATGGACAAGGGACAAGGGACAAGGATGAGGTAGA